ATTTCTGGTAAAGTAATAAAACAAGATAAGTTGTATAATAATTAATATCATTTCCACAGTGTGCCAAAAAATTTTCTCCTATTGCTAGTACTGTTAAAGGATACTACCCCAAATACTACTGTAAATGACTTTGTTGTTTTCATTATTCTTTTTTTGATGGAATATATAATTAATTAATCTTTCCTGATGGTCATATAATTAACAATTAAAAATTATATATATTTTATTTGTAAAACTCATCAAATCATCACTTGATATATGTATATACTGTGAAATAATAACCACAATCAAATTAACAAACATATCCATCACCTCACATAGGTACCTTATTTTTTTTGGTTGGAAGAACTATTATGAAAACATACCACTCAAGTGCTTGTTCTTTTTTAGAAATGTGCATTTTAACCAATCTTTTTATTTTTGTTTATTTTATGAGAAATAATTTGCAGATGTTAAGAACAAAATTTAAATGTATAGATTGAACATTTTCCCCTATGTGTGCACCTGTAAAATCACCACACTTACCACATTAGAATATTCTCACACTGAAAAGTTCCCTTGAGCCCTGGGCAGTAAATATTCACCATCACAACTGATGACCATTTTTATTGCTATCAGTAAACATAAGTTTTGTCTATTCTTGAATTTCATTTAAATAAAATTTCACTCTTTGCTTTTGAGTGTCTTCTGCCTAACATAACAATGTTTTAGAGATTATCTATGTTGTTTTATGCACTAGTTTTAAAAGAATTTTAAATTTATTACAACTGTAACTTGAACAACAATATAAAAATTTTATTACTGAATAATATTTCACCGTGTGAATGCTCTTTAATCCCATTTTGGTGTATACTTATCAGATGACCTAACCTAACCTCTTTGGTACTGGGAGTGGTCTGAGAAGACAGGTGATAAATGGGGATTTGTGGCTGATTCACTTACCACCTGGTGGGCAAACAGGTCTCCTCTGCAAGTGATAGAAAGGACAGAGATAGGCCCTGACATAATATAAATGCCTGGTTGCTGGAGATTTCACTGGTGATGATCTAGGAAAATAGCCTGCTGGAAAGCAGTGCTACTGCAGGTGAATGATTCAGTTACTTGAAAAATACAGGGGAGAGGAATTCCTACAAATAGCCAAGTTTGCTTATTGCTAAGTTGTATGGGTGCCTGGGTGCCAGGGACAGGATTTCCAGTGAGAAGATGTCCTGAATCTCCTTACTGGCTTCCATGAGTCTGGTTTTCATTCTTTTAGGGTGCAGGAGACTTTTAATTAGTTTCTGGTTTCTAACAAAGGTAATTTGTCCAGGAATTGGTGCTGAATTGATGTGTTTATGGAGGAAAGGAAGGATTCCTACTCTGCTATGTTGCTAACATCACTCCTAGCACCAAGTATTGATGCATGCTACAAATGGTTAATCTTGAAAACATTAGACTAAAGGAGGGAAGCCAACCACAAAAGATCGTATCCTTGTTTCCCTTCCCCTAGACCTAGACAATCATTAATCAACTTTCTGCCTCTAAAGATTTTCTTGTTATGAACATTTTACACAAAAGGACTCATGCACTATTTGGTTGTTTGTGACTCATTTCTTTCAAATACCCTGATGTTTTCAAGATTTATCCATGTGTAGCATGTGTCAGTTCTTGATTCCTTTTCACTGATAAAAAATATTTCAGTACATGGACATACCAAGTTTTGTTTACCCATTCATCAATTGATGAACATTTGGGTTATTTTAATTTTTAAACATTTTGATTGAAGCTGATGTAACCATTTATGTACATTTTTTTTGTGTGTGTGGACATGTGGTTTCATTTCCTTTGTGTATATATTTAGTGTGAAATTGCTAGGTCACATGGTAACTCTATGTTTAACATTTTGAGGAACTGTCAAAATTCTCTCTAAAATTTTTGTACCCATTTACATTAAACCAGCAATATATCAGGGTTTTAACTGTTCCTTGTTATTGTCTGTCTTTTTAAATATAGTAATCCTAGTGGATGTGAAGTAGTACCTTACTGTGATTTTGATTTGGATTTTTCTAGTGACTCAATTTGAGCATCTCTACATGCACTTATTGACCATTTGTGTATCTTCTTGGAGACATCTATTTAGATCCTTTGCCCATTTTTAATTGTGTTATTTGCCTTTTTATCCTATAATTGAAAGAGTGTTTTGTGTTTCCTAGACACAAGTCCCTTATCAGATATGTGATTTAGAAATATTTTCTTCCATTCTGTGCATTGTTTTTTTCACTTTCTCCTGACTCTCATTTATGTTGTGGCTACTGCTTATTCACCATGTGATTTCTATTGTAAGTTTTTATTTTTAAAAACTTATGGAGAGAGCTCAGTATAATCTGTTCTCAAGGAGCACTTTTTTTTTAGTGAATATTTGTGTTTAGTCTGCCAGACCCTGAGCCCACACCCTTCAGTACCAAGTTAAAAGAGACTTCTCACCCAGATGTGACAGAACATACAAAAAATGTAATAACAAACCAAATTCTTGTTAGGGAAGCATTTATTTTCATCTCCACCAAGAATCAAATTTGAGATAGGCATTTTTTCCTGTTTCTGCCAAGCAGGCTTTATTCTAGCTTTATCCTGTTAAAAAATTGGATACCTCAAAATGGCCTCCCATCAATCTCCATCCCTGACCAAACTCAATGCCCAGTTCCCAGTGCTGTCCCAAATTCGAAGGATCTCTAGGCAGTGGTATTTTGTAGATGTTCTCATAGTGGGCAATAGGCCAGTGGTGTTTTATCTTCCTGGAATAAAGTTCAAGCTGGGACCAGGCATGATTTTTTATTTTCTTTTAGAATATTTAATAGACTTAAACAGTTATTGTAAATGATTCTAGCAATTTAAGAGGTTTTGTAACAGGAGAGGTTCAGGATCTTCAATGTGCTCTATGACAGACACAAAAATCTTACCTAATCTTTTATCAGCTGAAGTATAATTTCATCCACCACTGTATATATATTTTACTTTATTCATTGTTATGATTCCTTTAACTACAATGTAAGACTGAATTTTTTTATTTACCATTTATATAATTTCTTTTAGCAAATATTCTGAATTTGCTTTGTTTTTTAAAACTTTAAAAAGTTTTTTCTTTGACTAGCTTATTTCAATTAGCATAATGCTTTCCAGTTCCATCCTTGCTTTCACAAAAGGTAAGATTTCCTTCTTTTTTACAACCAAGAGGAATTCCATTGTGTAAATCTGCCACAGCTTTTTTTTATCCAATCATCTACTGATGGACACTTGGGCTGCTTCCAAATCTTGGCTATTGTAAATAATGCTATAGTAAACATAAGTGAACTTCCTGTATTTCTTCTCCATTTGACTTAAATTTTACATATACTCAATTCTCTTGATTTAATTTAAAAGGATCTAATTTCTGAAATTCAATTACTGAAACATATAAGCAACATTTGTCCTTGTGTGCTTTAATCTTCTATCTTTTTAACATAGAATATCTCACAATAGAGGTGCATGTATTTCTTAGTTGTAGGTCTAATTGAGTAATATTGTGCTAGAATATACTTATTTCATGTTTTTAAGTCCATTCAATAAGTATGTATAAACTGCTGTGTGCCAATATGTGTGCTAGATATTGAAGGTATGTGGAACTTATAACTTAAAAAGAAAGCTCAATTTAACCTATAATCACACAAATAATTACTACCATAATTTATGCAAAAAATAGAAATTGCATCATGCTACAAATAAGTGAAATAAATAAATATAAACTGTCCAAGGATATACAGGAAATGTGTCCTAAAATGGGTCCTATGTTCTAATAGGGAGTTAGCTCAGTGAAGAGGTGGTAGATTATTCCTAGTGAAGGGAACAGCCTGGAAAAACTCCTAAGTTAAGAAGATGCTGATGCTTTAAGAACTTGAAAGAAGGTCAGTGTGACTCTAACATTGTGAAAAAGAGTATTTTGGAGCAAAATTCCAGGGTTAGGCCATATTATGAAGGATTTTTAAGTCCAGTTAAGGACTAATGCATGAAATACTTTTAGTTAGAAAGACATTGAGAATGGTATTTTAATGACATCACTCTAGAAGTTTATAGAGAAAGCATTGAAGAGAGAAAGAATTTATTGGTGGTTTAGCATCAATTACAAAGCTATTGACTAGAGCATACAAGAAATGTTTTATCTTGAATTAGGAGAGAATATTTAAAATTAACCAACAATGAGTGTGGGATTCCCAATTAAGCATGCACTGCCCCCTCATCAACACTTCCAAGCAAATCAGATTTAGCTTATAGTTATAATAAGGACCACAAGCCTGCAAGAGGCAAATTTAACTGTAGCCTTACATAAAGCACTTGGACAGTTGCATGATATATTGTGTAAAATCAAGAAGTGTGCCTCTACTTTCATTTATGGAGGTTTGAAAGTCAACTGTGAATACTTATAATATTTCTGGAAGCATTTGACTCTAAGGCTGCTCTCTATAGTTATACTGAAATTGTCTTTCCATTAGTTTTCCCTCTTCTGGTATCACATATTCACTCTGGCAGCTTATATTCATTATGCTTTCAAATTTAATTATTTATTCTTATGTTTTCTCTCATTGGTTCAAGAGGTTAGAATCATATTTTTCCCATTATTGGTAACATTATTTCAATCATTATTTGCAATGGTACCTCATTTAATTGTGTAAATTTATGAATGTCAGTAAAAATCTATATCTATTAAAATCACCTATAATAATATTTACCACATTTTTAATATTTATTTCATTACTAATAAATATACTTGAATGTCTATGTAAAAGTAGTCAGTAATTTTATGCCTATTTTGCTGCAGGCGGTTAATTATCATAATGTGTTATAACTGCTTTGTGTAAATTAAAAATATTTTATTATTAATTTTTCTCCATTAACATTTTAACACCACAAGAGTAAAACCATATATTGTATATAATCTATTCAAGTTCTCTTAGCATAGTATGTGAAAGCTTATTATATACTGCTTAAATCTAGAAGTTCTGTGTGGAGCTAATAAGTAGGAACCATAATTTTCTCATGGCCCCTTGCATTTTCTGATTTCTCAGGGTGTAAATAATAGGGTTTAGTAAGGGTGTAATAACAGTGTAAAATACAGAAAGGATGTTATTGCCTGCAAAACTATTGAATGGCCAGGCATAGATAAAGATACAAGGTCCAAAGAACAGAGTGACTACAATGATGTGTGCAGACAATGTGGACAGAGCCTTAGAAAGTGCTCCAGATGATCTTTGCCACACAGTGGCCAGGATGACCATGTAGGAGATAAGCAGAAGAATGAAACAGATCAATGAGAGCAACCCACTGTTAGCAATGACAAATAATTCCAGGGCATATGTTTCTATACAAGCAAGCTTAATCACAAGGGGAAGGTCACAAAATATATTATCCACAACATTGGGGCCACAAAAAGGCAAGTTCACCAATAATAACATCTGGCTCATGGTGTGTGCAAAACCAATTATCCATGAAAGTATCACAAACCCACCAAGCAACCTGTGGTTCATGATTGTCCTGTAGTGCAGGGGCTTACATATGGCTACATATCTGTCAAAGGCCATGGCTATCAAAAGAGTCATCTCAGCACCCCCAAAAAGGTGCATAAAAAACATCTGGGTCATGCAGCCCCATATGGAGATGGTCTTGTGTTCAGTGAGCAAGCCTGTGATCATCTTGGGGGTGGTGACAGTGGAGAGGCACATGTCCAAAAAAGAGAGGTTTCCAAGTAGAAAGTACATGGGAGAATGAAGGGTGGAGCTAAATGTTACTGTAACCATAATGAGAACATTTCCCAACACAACAGCACTATAGATTAAGGAGAATGCTAAAAAGAAGAATATACAAAGTTCCCATTGTCCAGAAAATCCTAGTAAAATAAACTCAGTCACTACAGATTCATTTTTAAGATCCATTTACTCAACTCAGAGAAATCCCAGAATTTTAGACATAAAATAAATTGTATTCTTCTGACTTGCTCAAAATTTATGTCTCTTTAAGCCTTTAGAAATCTTCATTGAAACATAAAGGCATTATCTGTTAGGGTGAAAGAAAAACAGAAAAGTCCCAGAAGTTACTTTATATAAAAAGAATTTTAAAAATTAAGCCATAGTTAGCATCAACATTTTTCAATTTCTATTTAATGAATAATAGTTGGCAATATGAGGCTCTCCAGTTCTATCCATGCTGTTATGAAGGGTAGGAGCTCCTTCTTTCTTTCTGCTGCATAGAATTCCATTGTGTAAATGTACCATAGTTTTTTGATCCACTGATTTACTGATGGGCACTTAGGTTGCTTCCAGCATTTGGCTATTGTAAATTGTGCTGCTTTGAACATTGGGGTGCATAGGTTCTTTGAATTGGTGTTTCAGAATTCTTAGGGTATAATCCCAGCAGTGGAATTGCCAGGTCAAAAGGCAGTTCCATTAGACATTGAAATAAAGAACAAACTGACAGTAATCAGAGGGAAGGAGAGAGAAGGATAAAAGGGGAAAGAAGGGGAAGTGTTGTCAAGGAACATGTATAAAGGAACCATGGACAAAACCAAAGGAACAGGAGTGAGGGTGGCTGGTGGGGGTGGTTGGGGTGGGGGAAAATTGTGGCAGGAAAATGGAGACAACTGTACTTGAACAACAATAAAAAAAAGTTGGTGATATGAAAGCACATAATGTACATCACCACATCCTTATTTATAATTTGAGATTATTTTTGGCTCACATCACTACTAAACAATATTCTTATCGTTATACAGTAATTAAAGAGCATATGAAGAAGTCAAATTTTGTTTTCTAATGTATTCTGCCAAATTATACTCTTAGCAATTGATTATAAATTTGTCACTAATGTGTTCATGTAAAAAATTTAAATAACTAGTTAGACTAGTATTTAGCCCTGGCCAAGATGGAGGCATAGGTAGATACACTGTGCCTCCTTGAACAACCAAAAGAAAGACAACAAAAAATTAAAAAACAAAAAACAGCCAGAACTGAGAAAATCAAACTGTATGAAAGTCTGACAACCAGGGAGTTAAAGAAGAAACATTCATCCAGACTGATAGGAGAGGCAGAGATGGGCAGCCAGGTGGTGAGGACTCAAAGTAAGGCAGTGTCTGGCCAACTGGGTGGTCCCACATTGGCGTTCAGATAAACTGGGAGGAATGACTGGAGAGTGAGACAGACCACGCAACCCAGGCTTTGAGACCTCTGACAGAACAAATCTGTGGGGTTGCAGTGGTCGGAGAAACCCTTAGCCCCACAGATGAATTTGTTGGAGAGACCCACAGGGTTCTAGAACATACACAAACTCACCCACCCAGAAATCAGCACCAGAAGGGTCCAATTTGCTTGTGGGTAGTGGGGGAAGTGATTGAAAGCCAGCCAACAGCTGAGCAAGCAGCAATGGTACCTCTTGGACCCCTCCCCCACATACAGTGCCACAACGTAGTAGTGACTTGGGTTGCCTGCCCTGGAGAATACCTAAGGCTCTGCCCCTTACTACATAACAGGCATCCCAAGACAAAAAAAAATGGCCCAAATGAAAGGACAGATCAAAACTCCAGAAAAGATACAACTAAGTGACAAAAGATTGCTAACCTATCAGATGCACAGTTCTCAACACTGGTAATAAGGATGCTCACAGAAATGGCTGAGTATAGTTGCAGAATAGAGGAAAATGTAAAGGCTATGAGAAGTGAAAAAAAGGAAAATATACAGGGAACCAACAGTGACAGGAAGGAAACTGGGACTCAAATCAACAGTTTGGAGTAGAAGGAAGAAATAAACATTCAACCAGAACAGAATGAAGAAATGAGAATTCAAAAACCGGAGGAGAGGCTTAGGAACCTCCAGGACATCTTTAAATGTTCCAACATCCAAATCATAGGGGTGCCTGAAGGAGAAAAGGAAGAGCAAGAAATGGAAAATTTATTTGTAAAAATAATGAAGGAGAACTCCTCCAATCTGACAAAGGAAATAGACTCCTAGGAAGTTCAGGAAGCTCAGAGAGTCGCAAAGCAGTTGGACCCAAGGAAGCACACACCAAGGCACATCATAATTATATTACCCAAGGTTAAAGATAAGGATAAAGAGAATCTTAAAAGCATCGAGAGGAAAGGTAACAGTTCATACAAAGGAGTTCCCATAAGACTATCAGCTGATTTCTCAAAAGAAATCTTGCAGGCAAGAAGGGGCTGGAAAGAAGTATTCCAAGTCATGAAAGGCAAGGACCTACCTCCAAGATCACTCTATACAGCAAAACTATCATGTAGAATGGAAGGGCAGATAAAGTGCTTCCCAGATAAGGTCAAGTTAAAGGAGTTCATCATCACCAAGCCCTTATTATATGAAATGTTAAAAGGACTTATCTAAGGAAAAGATTAAAAACTATGAACAGTAAAATGACAACAAACTCACAACTATCAACAACTGAACCTAAGGAAAAAACAAAGTAAATAAACACCTAGAACAGGAACAGAATCACAGAAATGGGGATCACGTGTAGGGTTATTAGTGGTGGGGGCAATGAGGGATAAAGTAGAAGGAATAAGTAGCATAAATGATTAAGTACAGAGTAGACAGGGGGATGTTAAGAATAGTATAGGAAATGTAGAAGCCAAAGAACTTATATGTATGACCCATGGTCATGAACTAAGGGGTGGGGATGTAGGTGGAAAGGAGTGTGCAGGGTGGAGGGGATAAGGGGGTAAAATGGGACAACTGTAATAGCATAATCAATAAAATATATTTAAAAACACCATAAATATCAAAAAAATAAAATAAAATCAATACATGAAAAATTAAAAGACCTTATGCCAAGAATACTTTCCCATGTTTTAATAATTTACTCATAGTCACATATTATAGTATATAATATAATAAATATAATATAATGCAATATAACAAATATAATATAACATTGTACCATATTATAAAACAGATTAATATTTATTTTGCTTTTCATTATTATAATTTTCTGTAGGTGTCACCCCCTTGAGGTAATATTATCACTAAATATAAAATATTAGGATTTGGAAGGTGAGGGAATTGTACTGTCTTATATCTCTGAATTAATTTACAAAGGTCATTGTATGGTTCTAAAACAAACAAGTCACATACACAAGATTAGGGATTAATTTATACATGTAAAAGAATCTTTGAATTTGTGAAAAATAATTTTGCTTTTAGTTTTTTTTTTTTGTATGATACTGAGTATTTTGGGAAGCATGGGCTCAGCCTCAGATCTTTTTGAGCTGTTTTCCTAAATCCTTGTATTACCATTGTTCACAGTGAGGAGTGTGTCTATTATGTGTAAGGGTATGTATGTGATGCTTTAGATGTGAATAATGAAATGATTCAATCTTAACATACAGAGTTTGCCTGGTTGTAATATATCATAGTAAGTTGTCTCCACTCAGCTTTTTAGACATTGTTTATAGGATCCAGAGTGATCAAAATTGACCAGAAACAATGAAGTGATTATGTGCTAACCTGTTTTAAGTGTGTTACATACATTAACAAATTTAATTCTCATAACAACCCTAAATGTTATTGTTATCCTAATTTTTGCAGATAAGGAAACTAAGGCATAGAAGTATTTAATGATTCACTCATGGTTACACAGCAAACAAAGATCAAAGCTGATATCACCTCCAGTCTGACAACAGAATCTGGCTCATACCAATATACCATGTTGTCTCCAGAATTAAAGAAATATATATTTAAGTATGTTATTAAATTTTTATTGAATTCACATGTTCCATGTAAATTCCTTAGGAGATATGATTCAGTAAGTATGTCAGAATCCCCTATATTATAATTAACTACACTGTCTTTTTCTTATACAGACTAAATTGATGCCCTATGTCTAGAAAGTTCACAATCTAGAGAGACATATTTATCAAACAAAAATAGCAATAAATCATATAAGTTAAATTTAGGGTATATGCAATGTGTTGCAAGAAAAAAAGAATGGACTTGCAGATATGGCTTTAGGTTATTATCTTCAGAATGTATTAGAAGCAAAAGCAATTCTCATGGTCAGTAAACAAAAAGGACAGGCTTAGAGAATGTGTGATAATTTATAGGAAGAAAAGAATTCAGAGCAATGAAAGCAGAGTGCTATATTTATAAAAGGGTCTAAATTAAGGTATGAAGATGCATAGGAAGTGTCTGTTCTTTTTACTCCAATCACCTGTAACTCATTTTATTTTCATTTCTACTCACACTCTTGCCAAAAAGATCCTACCCTCATTACTCAAGCTTAATTCTCTCAATTGCTTTCCTTACTCAGATATTTTTAAGAAATGGATAATACCTACGAACTAAGGAAAATAAAGATGAAGGTGATGTAGTTCCTTTAAGTCAACCTTCTGAAGTACATGGAGTGGATGCTGAGCAATCAACTGTGGATCTGGAGGAACACAGAGAGGACCACCATCACAGCACCCCTCCTTTGTAGAGTTGTAGAACATGATTATTGTGTGAATGAGCATAAATTTTGCTGTTGAGATTTTGTGACAGAGATCACAATAATTAGACGCACTTTGGAGAATTACAAGTCTTGATAGCTATTAGACGGAATGCATATGCCTACTGTAATTTGGGAATGAGTACTTTTGCTGCATGGAATTTTTTTATTGTTGCTCAAGTACAGTTATCTCCATTTTCACCCCACCATGGCCCCCTGCCCCATCCATCCTTGCCTCCCATCCTTGAACCTACCATCTTTAGCTTTGCCCATGTGTCCTTTACACATGTTCCTTGATGGCCTTTCCCCTATTTGCCCCCATTATCGCTCTTCCCCCTCTCCTCTGGTTATTGCCAAATTGTTCTTAATTTCAGTGTCTCTGGTGATATTTTGCTTCCTTGTTTGTTTTGTTGATTAGGTTCCACAAATAGATGAGATTATTTTATGCCCC